TAATTTCTTATAAAAACAGTGACTAAAAAATAATCAAAAAACATATTATATAATAATAAACTTTCATATATTATAAAATATATTTAGAACAACAAAAAACATTGTAGGTTCCTGTAGGGAATTCTAAAAAAAAATCAAAAAAAAAATTACAATAAAATATAAGGATAAAATGGCGTGTAATGTCATGTAAGACATTAACAATAAAAATATTGCATGTATAAAGATCATATTACTAAATGGATTCAATGAAGTTAAAATGAAAGATGATTTATTTGTAAGTAAATCATTTCTTAAAATAAATAATAATGTGCGGGAGCCTCCTTATATGAACTTCAATAAAAAGGCTGGAAAACATGTGTAAAATTCCTATTTTAATAAAATTTTATTCTGGATACGAGGCAAATTAGAATGTTGTAAGACAATAATTAAATCTTGAAAATGGATGAAATTATTTAATGACTTCAAATAATTTGGTTGTAAAATTAAAACACTTTTAATTATAGTGAAGTCGGTTTATTTTGTGGGTCTTAAAGGGAAATATAGTTAGAATAAAATAAGATAAATAAACTGAATAATTTATTGTATACCAATGTTAAGCAATGCTTTGGTTTATTTAAAAGTAATTTCTAATTTTAATCCCAATAAATAAAATATTCCTAAATAACTTAAGGAATTTTAAATTTTGGCATAAAAATATGCAATTCAGCAATTTCAACTCATAAGCTGAATTGTGTATTAAAACCGTTTTTCCTTAATTTAATTGTATTGGCTTCTCGGTTCTTTTACATGTTAGAAGCTTTCTAATGGTCTTATGTATTAATACCGTATTATTGCTTTTTTAAATCCAAAGAAAAAATTCTCATAGTGACAATGTATGTGTACAAAATTTTAAAATATTCAGGAAATAATTTTTTTTAATAAATTTTAAATATTTTCAAAGAAATTAAAATTAACGCTATTGTAGTTTTCAAATAATTTTAAGAATCAAATTCAATTTTTTTTATAGCAAAACTTTAATATTTTTCTTCTTCTCGCTTCCTGTATCACATAATAACTTTTTTGAATTGAAATCATTTCTTTTAAAAATGTTTTAAATTTTTAATAACTTTTCATTTTTTTCTACTATTTTATAGAAATTTTTATTGTTTAATTTTACAATCCATTTCACATTTTCAAATATTTTTCTTTAAAAATTTTTTTCTGTTCTTAACCCTCAATTACTATTCATATGAGTGAAATTCATCCGGATTTCGTAAAACATTTAAGATTCAAATTTCTTTGGTTATTAGTTAAATGCCCAAATATTTCAATATACATACTAATATAAAAGCTAAAAACTTACAGATTGTAATGAAAATTATGGGTTGCTTTAAAAAAGGGATAAAAATAACTGGAAGTAACGCTGAATAAAAGCTAGTAGAGCTAATCGATTTCAATTGAGTTTTTTCTAAAAAATGGTTTTTCTATATTATAGAAAATTATAAAACCAGTATTATAGAACCAGTATATAACTGGTTCGATTAAATCTACGGACAATAACAGCATTTTACAAAAAAAGAAAAGTTAGTAATGGAGGGTTAAATTTTTAATTCCATACCTTTCCACTTAGTTTACTCATTTTAAATTTGTAACTATACAAAAATTAATCTCCCTTCAAGCTTCTATTACATGTAAGAAGAGAATTCAGCAAAACTAACACATAGAAATCAAAGTGAATGCATATAACATAAAATGTATATCAAATGTATATAACATAATAATAACAGTATAACAATAACAGTATATGAATACGAAGTACAATAATATTATTATGTAAGTATATAATATTTTTGAACTCTATATAGTCAAACCAATATTTCAATTCAATTCAAAGTGATTTAAAGCTAAAAAAAAAAAAATAGAAAAATATAGAAATATATTTTTTACTTACATATTATTATAGCAGTTATAATTTTTACATTTCATTTTCCATAACTAAGTTAACACTATTGTGAATTTTACATATCGTAGAACACATACACGATACACAATATACGTAGAAGAACTTTTTAAAACGCAGGTACTGTGAGAAGATAACAACCCATAATTCATAAAGAATAAAAAAAGAAAAATTTTAATAAAGAATAATAAATATAACTGTGAAATATAACAGTAAAGATATACTCATACCACAGTTAAAATAAGAGTCAGAATGAAAATATGAACAATAAATTTACTTTAACTTCTTTGTTATACCATCATAGTGTGCTCTTTATGTTCTCTGAGTTTTTATTGTTAAAATGGTGAAACATCAAGAGAATTTTTAAATTTTTTTTTTCTTTTGTATTATTTTTATTCATTTTTTAAATTATAGCATTTATAATGTTATAATGAATAACCAAGCATATTGTCTAAGAATAGAATAAGAATGTATGAAACCCTATCATTTTTTTTAAATTTGCAAAATCGTTGTTCATTTATAAGCGAAAGTTTCGTTTGATATTGTTATTTATAAAAAAATTGCATACATTTAGGCGAACATTTATACGCACAATAAAATTTAGCTAATATAAAAATTTTTTTAACTTGTGTTATCATAATAAACTTAAAAAAAAAGCCATAGCTATGCAATTTCTAATGAAACTTTAAGTGTTATCGTTGTATTTAAATCTACATTACTTTAAGTATAAAACTCTTAAGGGTTCTTGTGCTGATGGTAAGAAGGGTGCAGGGGTGAACGACTTAAATGTGGTGTTGTCAAAGGCCTCTTCCACATCTAGGAAGGAAACTCGGAGACTATTTGTCGCCACTAAGAGACTTATAACGACCGAAGGATTGCATAGTCCATGCAATTTTCTTCTCTTCAAAGATTTTTCCCAAGAAACTCCATATTTTATTTCTAACTACGCAGTCCGTCCTTGAATGGCCGTCATCATTCCGTTCTGATCCTGGCCCTAACACCACGTGCTCGGGAAAGTGTGTCCGAAGAAGCAGCATTTCAGTTTCTTCCCCGTTGTTTGTGTAGGACGCATCGGATTTTGTTGGCATACCTATGCCATTTGTATGTTTCTTTGAGAGTGTTTAGTACCCATGCTAATTTTTATTTGGTAGGTCTCCAACCTACATGCGCAAGGTTCGTTACATTTATTAACTATAGCTAAGTTATTTTGAAACAAAAAATGAAATAGGTACTGTCTCTCGAATATTGGTGTTGCTCCATACTGCATGATTTTTCCTCCGGCAGTACTCCACGAGTTTCTCTGAGAGAGCACTGTTTTGCTCTCCGTGAAAATACCCCGAGGCTCAAATTTGCCTCCGTCTTCGGCTAATTTTTCGAACTTTAACCTCCACTGCCACCAGGTCTCTTGTAATCTTGTTTTTAGTTTAAATTGGAAGAAATTTAATAGTTTTATTAAGCCACAAATCAGCCATTAGACACACATACTACACATAAATTAATAATTTTAAATTTAAATAAGATATTTTTATATTTATTGTTCAAAAATATTGTTATATTGATAACATTTTTTAATAATTTATTTTGAAAACACCAACCCGAAACCTCAAAATCCTGAAAATTATTTTTAATGCATCATTCCAATTTAACTGATTTTAAGTATGCTAGTAATAATTTGTTATAAAATTCAATTAAAATAATTTTATTAACCAAAAAATTTTGGTGTATCATTTCAGTTTACAAACTATCAAAACTATTATATTAATTCTATACTTTCCAAAATTTATAGAAATTTAGGGGTTTACCAAATGTAAATTGCATTATGTATCAAAGATTTTATATACCAACATTTTATGCGGAAAACTCCATGAAAATTTTTTAATTAAAATCACACAAGAGAATATATAGATATTATTTTAGAATTCTAGACGAAATTGGGTTTTAATAGTAATGTTCTGGTAATTATGTTTCCGTAAGTAGAACAATCCAGTGGGGTAGACAAAGGAAAATTAATTAAAATATTCTTGAGAATGCATTGAAATAAAAACCTGACGTCCTTATTGCAAAAATACCTTCACGACAGTTTTAATATTATTAAATTTTTTATTCTCAGAGAATATTTTATTACTCTTACAACTCTTTTATAATATCAACTGAATTTAATAAACAACAAAAACAAAATTTATTTTTAAATGAACAAGAGAATATTAAAAGTTTATAAATACTGTCGTAATAGCTAGTTAAAAACTATTACAATAGTGCCATTCGCTCTTTTTCTCCTCGCTTAATTTAATCTTTACGTAAACCAAATTCTTTACAATCTTCTTAATTAGTTTGTATCCTAACAACGCCCTTTTTTCTCCATGTGGTGCTATTGAGAATGAGATATGTTATTCAATTATTAAGAATAACTGTATGATACTGTCATAGTACCTAGAATAATGCATGCAACTAGTAAAAGTTACACACAGACATTTTTAAAATTAAAGTATACATATTGCAGAACTCGTTAACAATAATAATAACAAAAAAATTCAGGGTTCCGTTGAACGTGACTTTTCTAAAGAAAATTTAAAATTAATGAAAGAGAAAGAAAATAAGTTGAAATTTTTTTTTGAAAATATTTAACCTTGATTAAAAAAGAAAAAAATCAAGAATAGTTGAACAGAAAAAACTATAATGAAAAATAATAACGGTTTAGTTTATATGCACAAATACCAACACACATTCAAAAAATAATTATAAAAGTTCATTGTGAATGAAAAGTTTTTAGATTATCACGGAGTGTATTAATATTGCACTCATTCAATATTATTTAATAGACGAGTGTGAGGCAGCATATTGGTGGTTTGAGGCATTAATTTGTAAAATGATTCCGACTATTAGAGAGAGCCTTTTCAATACAGTAATGTGGCAAATAAATTTTAAGGCTGTAACAGATTTAATCGCCATCAAACCTAAGACGATTTAAAATTTTTAATATAAATATATTAAATTTTAAATCTCTAACCCTTCTCGTGCCATCATAGGGTTTCGCTCTGATAAAGTGTATGTTTCCTGCTTTCTACGCTAAGATGTCAGCGATTTCATTACCTTCGACTCCAACGCTTGCCAATAAAATGTAACCTGTATGTAATGTAACCCATTGTATCCACTTAAAGAATAAAATTCTTTCTGTAATGTTTTGTAATTTTTAATTTATTTAGATATACTCAAGCTATTACACAAGGTAATCAGTCCATTCAGTCATTGCCATCATCATTTTCATATATTAATTCTGAAAATGTAATTACAATATCCAGAGCTTCTTTTACAACCGGTAAAATTTCATGTTTAGCCATTAGAAAACCTTGATTTTTACGACTTCGTAATTCAACTTGATAGGTGTATAAGGGACTTAATAAAATTTTCGCCCAATCTATTGGTGTTCCGCTCACTGGAAATGGTAAATTTGCCTGTTGTACACTATATGTTGTATTATAAAGTTCAAACATTTTCTGAAAATTAGATTTCCAATGAAAGATTTTTATATTACAATATTTTATATTAAATTTAATAAAGAACTCAGAAAAGCCCCCAATATTATAAAATTCAATCACGTTTCTGTAAAAATTCAAATGCACGTAACTGTACACAATTTACGTTTTATTTTAAAAATATGGCGGAAATTTCAATAGAATCATGTGTTTAGTAAAAGCTCAATCAAGAAAAGAAATCTTAGAAATTACGATTTTGTCTAGAACCTACATAACAGAATCAGTATTAAAAATTCTACTTACCTTTGCAATTTTTATAGCTCCACGTTCTAATTTTTTTGCATCACCACTATGTACATTTGTAAATGAATAAGGATATTTAATTATTTCACCATAACTATGAAATGTTAAATATCCTTTTAAATTTAAACGCCTTTTATTTAAAAAATCTCGTAAACATTCTGTTTCTGCTTCACTAAATTCATCTTTACCAGCATAATTAATATTACATGGTTGCAAATTTTCATATTGTGATTTCCAATTAATATTAAAATTTCGATATAAATCAACACCTCTACAAAGTTCCGCATCTTTTGCGTATAATAAATTTTTTCTTCGATTTCTATACCAAAGTCTATCAGTTTTCCATGAATAATCATATCCGTCCGGATTTAAAACTGGTAAAAAAAACCTTTAAAAAAATTTTAAAGTAACAAAAAATATTGTTGTTGTGTTTTAAAAATAATTTAGAAATAGAGGAGACTAGCTTACCAGGTCATGGTTTTAACATGATACGGCATAACATCCCAATTTAATAGCATCGTATAAATAATGTATGTAATTGCAGATGGTGTCATCCATTCTCTACCATGTATTCCTCCATCAATCCAAATTTTATCAAAAGTTTGCGGATCATCTGAAATTCTTTAGTATAAAATAAAAGAATTGCAAAACAATTAGATAATTTTCAGATATTTTAAATTTATTGGGAACGCCGAAATTTTATGTAACATTTTCGAATCACAGATTCAAGAACTAAATTTTAGTTTGAAGAGTTTATATTATAACAAAAGATTATGTAAATGTAGTATTGATAGAACGATATCCGAAAATCTTGAGTTAAAAAATAAGGAGGTCACTCCTGAAATGTGTTAATTCAACCCATCGCGTCCAATTTGAAGAATTTGGACTTAAATTTGGGCTGATTTTCAGGTTTTCTTAGCATTTTTCATTTCTTCTCATATTAAATATCATATAAGAAATTAATTCCAAGCCCAAGCAATTGCTGACTATAATTTTTATTCTATTTATTGCTGCTAAATTCATATCATTATTTTAATAGCTCTTTCGAGCATAATAATTAAATCTTTTATTTTTTCATTATTAAAAAAAATTTACCTTAAAACTTTTATGATTCGACCTTCATATGTCCGTCCAATTTCAAAAACTTTTACTAAATTTGGATAAAGTTCTTCCATTGTATATAAAAATTTATTGATCGTTTTTAAATCCAAATAACTTTCCCAATTTATTGCTTAAAAAGGATAACATTTTAATGGTCCATTATGGAAGAAGAATCATCAAAAAATAAAAAATAAAAGTTGAAAATAATAAAAGAAAAAGTGTTGAATACACTATCAATATTTAAAATAGTTATAGCTTAAAATACTATTTATACGATATTGCATATAGATCTACCATAAATCTGATTTACATAATATTCAATTCACATAAATCAATTTGTATGCATATGCATTGAATATTCTTTGAAAAGGATATACAGAATATTATGCAAATCATTTTCTCTTAAATTTAATAATATAAAATATAAAATGAAATATTTTAATATTATAATATTATATACAAATCATAAAAAGATGAAGACGCAAGAAAATGCACAATATGTTTCTTAAATATTTTTAAACTCTATTTGAATATTTCAATATCATAAATTGTGATATCATAAAATATAACTTCAATTTATATAGCTGACTAAGAGTCAGTTTGATTTTTAATTGAAATTAATAAATTTCTGATTTACAAATTAATATTGAGCGACATTGAGCCATATTGAGCAATATTGAGCAACATTGAGCAATATTGAGCAATAATGAGCAATTTGCAACCACTTTTACTTTTCTTTATTAAATCAATTAAAAAAATTTGAACCAAAATTTCTGTTGCACCAAAAGTCAAAAGCTAATGAACTATGCTAAAAGGAGCTGGTGTAGCACTAGGGCACAGTTGAAGGCTTTTAAAAGAATTATTTTTACAAATTCGTTCTTAATGAGGCGAAAATCATTATTAATAAATCTAAGTTTCTGTATTCACATTAAGAATTTTTCAATTATCATAATACGAGCAAGAAAGGGTTAAATTTATTCTGTTAATAAATATACATTATTGATTTTTGTGTAATTTTAACAGTTAATTTTGTGTCCACTCGTTTAATTTAAAAATTTTTTTAAAAAAATCATACGAAATTTGAAATTTTTATAAATTCATATTTCGGGAAATCCAAACATTCTCGCGTTTACTGCAATATTATTGAATAAATTTTAATATAGTAAAAATAATTGCATTCTTATATGGTATAATATACTTAATAATTAAAATTATAATAAAAAATCACTTACTATTCTCATTATACATTGGTAAAAACCATAAATCATTCTGTGTTATATTATTATATTGTGAATTAATAACATTTTGTAAATCGTCAATTAATATGTCTGCTTTAAAATCATATTCTTTTAATATATTTTCAGCATTTATTCTATAATTTCCATCAAATGATATATCAAAATAACCAATGTCATCTTTCCAAATTATTCCATCTTAAAACAAAAATACAATTTAATTTAATTTTATTACAAAAAAAAAATTCACAAAATATTCAATAAATAAATCATTTTCAAAAATATTCACAATTTTAAGTAATTACATATTTAATCAAAATGGCATTTAATTTTAATAATGCAAACACTTTATTAATTATTATATGTATAACAGTATTAAATAAATTAATAATAATCGTTCATTTTAATTTTAAAAAAAAAAATATATTTTAATTTTTTTTTTCGTATACCAAAATCATTTTCAAATTTCGTTTTAACTTCATCACGACTCGTTCCGTAAAATAATTTTGAAAAATTGTGAATTCTCCATAATTGATGACCTTTATAATTAATTGCATGAATTAAAAATAATTCACAATAAAAAATAATAATTAATATAATTTTTGATTTCATATTTTTTATTTATTTTATTCATTTGGAAAATTTCATTTCGATTTCAAATTTTATTTCGATTCTAAATTCTTTCCGATTAAATACGATATTTCTAGTCGAAGTTTGAACTCGATCTGAGCTTATTCGCTTTTGAATGATGTCTCACTTTCTATTAGTATTAAATTTGTAGTATATAAGATTTTTTTTTTATAAAATATCTGTAGTATTATAATTTAGGTTAGTAGAATTTCTAGTACAGCGAACCCAACAGCGAACAACTTGACCTAGAATATGAAAAATTTTGAATATTATTAATGAAAAATATTTTTGTTTTGTTTACACACTTTTAAACTTAATTAAGCTTTAAAATTATAGGAAAAAAACTATCTATATAACAGTAAAGAAAGCATGTAAATGATAAGAAACAAGAATTTAGAAAATTTTTTTTCTTAATTTTTTATATCATTTTAATCTGATTTAATCTTATTAAATTAGCATCAATTAAATATATAAAAAATATATGAGTTATACACTTAAAATTCATAATATGTATATAATGTATAACAATATTAAAATTAGAATTATTGAACTATAAGGTATGAAATTATTCGAAATAAGATTTGCGTATACGCAGCTTCTATAAAGAATAACTAAAGCTAAACTTTTAAAAGGGAAAACGAGCGATTGGCCTAATTTGGAGTACAAAAGGGGATATTAAGTCAGGGAATTGGAAAATTGACATTGTTATGTGTGAAGGAAGAGCGACTCAACGGAACGTCGAAATTGGAGTAGGAATGACAATACAAAACCCTGTTACCATGGTACTAGCACTTATAGTACACCACCCCAGAATAATAAGTAAAGTAAGTAGGGGAGCGTCAGGGAGCCAAATTTCGAAAATGGGAGAAATATTATTGATTTGTCGGAACGTCAATATTGGAAAAAAATTAAATTCAGAGCCTTAGAAATGAGCGGAATTTCGAAAAAGAACGCATATTATCATTGGGCTAATTGAATTAGTTAAATAAAATGCACTACTTTACGTTACCTTTTCTGACTTCGAGAGAACCTTTGACACAATTGATTGAGAAGTATTATGGCACTCCATAATAAATAAAGATATTACTCAGAGAAATAATAAAAATAATCAAAGTATTATTATAGAGATAATGTACAGCCAATAGTACAGAAGTTAAAAGCCCGTATAAAATTTCCCTTATTAAATGTGGTGCCGTTAAAGAAAGTGTAAAACACTGATTGAGGAAAAAAGCTTTTCAGAATATTTTGTTTTTCTCTAATTATATGTATTAGAATCGCAAGTCGATTGACTCAACATATTTTTGTTTAAATTTCATCAACTCATTATAATATGGAAAAATTTAAATATTAAAATATGAATATTTTCTATTAAATAAAAATAAAAGAATGAAAATGAACGCTAATATAAAAATTTTTTTTTTTTACCTCCCACTGTTCTTGTTATACTCGCATTTAAAACGATAAGAATAAAAAACATGGCAATAATAGAATTAAAATTAATGTAAGAGTATACTGTACGGAGAGTGGGGAAAAGTAAAAGAATGGATTTGTAGATTTGTTCTCTTCTTCTCATTTTATACTTTCGCTGTAAATGAGAGTTATCGTAGTAAAAGATTAAAAATCAAGATAATTAGAATTTTTTTTTCTATTTCTTTTCATTTCTCATTATTTGTTATAGTGTTATCTTTCTCTCACAAATAAAATATTATTTGAATTTCAATTGAGTTATTATCTTGTTTTGATTACGTATATAATAAAATTATAGTGATATATTATTATGTGAGTTGTGTTGTATGTGTGTTTTAGTTTTTAATTTATGTATAAACTTTGCTCTTATTATCTAATTTATTAATATTATATTATTTTGAAATAGAAACTTATATAAAACTTTTTACTATAATAATTTTCAATTCGAATAATTGGAGGAGACACTAAGCCTTTATTTTATATAAGATTTTTGTCTCCTTATCGAATACTCAGCGAAAATATATTTTTGGAAAGAGAATTAAATTTATTCTCTTATATAAATTAAAATCTATATACTTTTAATTAATTTAGAAATTTTCTAACATAATATTTTTGTTGAAATTCATCTATATTGAATAGAGAAAATAAAATAAGAATAGTTTCTAGGTAGTTTTGTTGTAGTTTATTCGAAAACTAATGAGTAAAAAACAAATGCTTGAGAGAATTTGAATTAAAAAATATTTTCTTGTGCTCAAAATAAAATTTAATTTTTGTTTGAAATACAGTAGAGGATCAAAATTAATTGTATTCAAATTCGCAACAGCTTTCTATGGTGATCGTCAATACTTCATGACTAATGATTTTGGTTTGACTGATGCGTTGGAGAAGAACGGGACTAGCACACGTTTTCTTGGACTGAAGTCTCTCTGCGAAATCAAACCACATACAATTCGTGCAGAATTAATGAAGGAAATTGAGAGGCGGTTTTGGATTTTTTTTTAGAGGCGGAAATTGAAAGGGATATGGAAGAAATGGGAATTCTCACCGGCATTTTGATGAGGAGATGTTGGTGCAGCTTTTGGGAGATTGTGGGGGCTTCACCCGTAAGAGACGGGGGATGGGTCTCGGAAGGGTGTTGTAGGGGCCTATTCCACACCCCTTTTGGGGAGGGTGGCGCTATAGATCCTTATATGCTGGTCGGGGTGCACTGTTACACTTTTTTTATAATCTAATTTTTGACATCGTATCCGAGATATTATTGGTTGTTACATGGTAACCGCATTACAATCTTTTTACTTATTAAAAAAAATTTGGCGATTATTTTATACAAAAGAATGGATCTGGCAACTGGCCTCTATGATTTTGGATAACTGCTATGATTTGCACTCACGATAATTACACGTTGGGGTAAAAACCCCTTACGATTTCCGATGAAACCATGAATCTAAATTAACGCTTTAGCACTAAAATTTTAACGATACTCTTGTTGTTATTTACTCCAACTATTGATATAATTAACAAATCAAAGCACATATCTATACATACGTCTCAGTAGAAATTTACTACCATCTTGCCGTGCCATGAGGCAATACATGAAATTTTCATCATATTTTTCGCTGAGTTTTCACTGTATTTTAATATTTAATCAAATTTTATTTTGAATAACAATGTATAAGAAAACAAAATTTTTTGAAATATTTTAAAACTTTTAAACATGGTATGTATTTAAGTTTTGATAACAA